TTTTAGGGTATGATGTGATTGCTCAAGCTCAGTCAGGTACTGGCAAGACAGCCACATTTGCTATTTCCATCCTGCAACAGTTGGAGATTGAGTTCAAGGAGACCCAAGCACTAGTATTGGCCCCCACCAGAGAACTGGCACAACAGGTATTGATAGTGTAGTTCAAAAAAAAAAAAAAATGCTTGCGTGTTGCATAGGGTGCAGGTTTCACAACAGAAGAATTTAAAACAGTGTAAATTAGTCCTGTTAGAGCCCTCCTTTTAACTGTCCATGCATGCAGGGAGTGTTTGTTTAAAGTTAAATAGGACCTGGGTGTGCAAGTTAGGTTTGCAGAGTTATATAAGAAAGGGAGAAACCCAAGCTTTCTATTCAGGGTGGACTAGATTAGACCCAGCCTCACTTTTAAGTTTGAATGCAGTCGTGCAACATAAAAACTTCAGTGACTTGTCATTAGTTTGTGATGTATCTGTTGCATGATAATATTTTTAAAGCTCACTGCTAATACAGGCTTTGATGTACACATTGCTAATAAAATTATAGGTTTTATTGAGATCAAGATTATATATCATTGCCCTGTGGGAAAAAATAAAGTATCAACAATTTGTGTTAGCTGTAATTGCAGCACTTGATCCACTATCTTCCTACACAATGAAGAATAAAGGATGTATTTTAAGTTCTTAAAATCTAGTTGGTACCTGGGACATTAGGATCCCAAGTTTGACGGGGCACAAGAAGACATTTAAAGGGAATTTTATCTTGAAATAGTTACAGTCTGCATTTTAAGCTTGGAAGTATTTAAGTGCTGTGCATGCATAAAAGCTGTTTGCAGACCAGGTATTTGCCATTGTGCTTTGGAAGTTTAGTCACAGCCTGTAATTCTGTTGAATAATGATTGAGGCTATTGTCTTTTAGATCCAAAAGGTAATTCTGGCACTTGGAGACTACATGGGAGCAACTTGTCATGCCTGCATTGGTGGAACCAATGTTCGCAATGAAATGCAAAAGCTGCAGGCTGAAGCACCACATATTGTTGTTGGTACACCAGGGAGAGTGTTTGATATGCTAAACAGAAGGTATCTTTGTAAGTATTTATGTCAGTTGAGTACAATTGACTGTTATAAACTAAAAATACTGAATAGTATCTCTGAGAATCCAGGATGATAGTATGACTTATTTCTTAACAGCTCCAAAATGGATCAAAATGTTTGTTTTGGATGAAGCGGATGAAATGTTGAGCCGGGGATTTAAGGATCAAATCTATGAGATTTTCCAAAAATTAAATACAAGTATTCAGGTGAGGTTTGTTTTATCCCCTTATAGCAGGAGATTAGGTTTAATGCAGGTATTGTTACAATACAACTGAAGTGTTTTATTGTCGTTCCCCCTGCTTAAAACAATTGATGCATAACTATCTCTGTCTAGCACAATTCCATAGCAAGACAGAGACGCTTGGTGTCAAACATTCGGTTTTTATTATTTATTTATTTTTTTAGTGTTGTGAAAGTAGTGCTAATTATTTGTATGACAATGTCTTTTTTAAAGGTTGTGTTACTTTCTGCCACGATGCCAACTGATGTGTTGGAAGTGACCAAAAAATTCATGAGAGATCCAATTCGAATTTTGGTGAAAAAGGAAGAATTGACCCTTGAAGGAATTAAACAGTTTTATATTAATGTTGAAAGAGAGGTAATTTGTCTAATTACTAAACATAAAAAAACGTAGCCAGGTTTTTAACCTTCTTGTATAAGCACTGTGCTAAAATTGCAGAAACTAGGATTACATCTTGGTTTTTGTAATAATGCTAGCAGAGTACACACAAGAAGAAAAATAACTGCACTAGATTGTAAAGACTGGGGTGGACCTCTTTCTTAATGTCCAGTGTCCTTTGTCTTAAGATTTGGTGCAACATGTCTTTATACTAGCCTAACTAATTTCTGATGAATAAGTTGAAACTAAATTGTTTTAATGATTTAGTTTTCTTTTTGAAATACTGTAGGAATGGAAGTTGGATACACTTTGTGACTTGTATGAGACACTGACAATTACACAGGCTGTCATTTTTCTCAACACAAGACGCAAGGTGGACTGGCTCACTGAGAAAATGCATGCCAGGGACTTCACAGTTTCTGCTCTGGTGAGAGGTGTTCTAATTTAATAACGGTAATTTACAATGTTATTTCATTATAGCAGGATTCAAACTACAATATAGCTGTTAAGTGCTGTGTTGTCGTTCCCCCTGCTCAAAATAAAGTTGTTTCTTAACTATACCTGTCTGCTATACTCCTGTAGCAGCCAGGGACGCTTGGTCTCATACATATCATTAAAATTAAATCATTATTTGACTGATGATTCTTGAATTAAGATCTGTTAATTTGCAGCATGGTGACATGGACCAGAAGGAAAGAGATGTCATCATGAGAGAATTCCGATCAGGGTCAAGCCGTGTTCTGATCACTACTGACTTGTTGGTAAGTCAGTCTTACTATTCTTTGTAATCTCCCAAAAGTATTTTTTAGGGGAAGGTTTTTTAATAACCTTTACCAGCTTGGGCTATTTGGGAGAATAAATGAAGACCACACTCCACAGTGGGCTATATCATTGAACATATAGTTCACTACTATTTTGTGGCCTACATTGCATAGATGTCTAGTTTGTTAATTAGAATTTGATCACACCATTGTATTTCAGGCTCGTGGGATTGATGTGCAACAAGTGTCATTGGTTATAAACTATGATCTACCTACCAATCGTGAAAACTACATTCACAGGTGAGTAGGTGGCACCTTGATTATTAGTATATTGGTAAAATGAATTCATGCATTGCTTTTCTGACTGATTTGTTTGAAAGGTAATGTCAAATCAGGAAGTTGGTAGTTAATAAACAGTAATTTGGTAAGATGTAATTAAAATTGTACTTGGGAAGATTGGTCATGCACAGTGGGAAAACAGTTTGTAAACACTGCCCAAATCGTGGGCTTTCATTTATGTATGAGTTAGTGTTTTTGATCTGTTGGTGTTAGTTTATTTTTGAGCTTTATTTTTAGTGATGCTCTTGTGTATCCATGTGCTTTCTTGGTGATTACTCTGTAGTTGGGATTTTCTTGGTGTCATCTGGTAGCATTTTGAGCAGTCCCTGGTTTAGTTTTAGTGGCTTTATCCCTAAATAAATTGAATTGTACTTTGTTATATGATGTAAAAAAAGACTTTTTAAAAAATACAGGAGTCGATAGCAGCAGTTGATGACGAGATGGCACTCAGAAACGGCGTTGACGTAATTTAGGACGTGGAATCATAAGCGAAACAGCACACTGTTTGCATAAAGAGCGAGTCGGTATTTATATTTTTCTTTTGTCATGATTATTTATTTTAAGTTGTTCCAGCCAAGGCATTTTTGTATATTAGCTTATTAGGTGGTTTGTATTGTCTGGTTTCTATCAGGAAAGGTAGAAAGTAGTTTTGGAGGTAAACACGTTTGAGTAATTTGAGTTATAACGTGTGAAACTGAGCAAAAAAGCAGTGATGAGTTTGGGTTACCATACCAAATACTTGTTTTCCCACTGGAAAAAGTTGTTTAGACAATAGTTAACCTTGCAGCATTTGTATTTACAGTTTACAGTTCCAGAAGTGCGTCGATATGGATTGCATAACTGTTCTTTTTGTTTTATCCCTGGTGTGTTTACATCTGTCCCAGGCTGACTTCTGCTCTTGGCTGGCCCACTTTGGTATGGGCTTTTTAATTACACTACCCCAAACACAATACTGTCACCTGCTTTAAACATAATAATGCTCAAGACACCTGATAAAATCTCATTTTGCAGCCAGACAAGCCTTGAATCCTTTTGGCACTAACTGCAAAGGAAAATTTTTTTTCTCTAGATATTGATTTAGCAGATAGTGCTCCAATTAGAAGCACGAACTGTAACCTTAAGTAAACAGCAGCTGATGGTTAACAAGTGGATCATCATGTTCAGTAGTTCAAGAATTCTGTTAGAAGTAACATTCTAATTGCTGATTTCTTTTCTTACACAGAATTGGCAGAGGGGGTCGATTTGGGAGGAAAGGTGTGGCTATAAACTTTGTTACTGAAGAAGACAAGAGGATTCTTCGTGACATTGAGACTTTCTACAATACTACAGTGGAGGAAATGCCAATGAATGTGGCTGACCTTATTTAATTCCTGAGATGAGATAGTTTTGAATGCAGTGCTCGCTGTTGCTGAATAGGCGATCACAACGTGCATTGTGCTTCTTTCTTTGGGAATATTTGAATCTTGTCTCAATGCTCATAACGGATCAGAAATACAGATTTTGATAGCAAAGCGACTTAAGTCGTGAGCTCTTGTGAGGAAAGTCATTGGCTTTATCCTCTTTAGAGTTAGACTGTTGGGGTTGGGTATAAAAGATGGGGTCTGTAAAATCTTTCTTTCTTAGAAATTTATTTCCTAGTTCTGTAGAAATGGTTGTATTAGATGTTCTCTATCATTTAATAATATACTTGTGGACTAAAAGATATAAGTGCTGTATAAAATCAGCCAATTATGTTAAACTAGCTTACCTGCCTTTATTGTATTTTGTCATTAGCCTGAATAGAAGGCCTTTAAAATTGATTTTTTTTTTTTAGAAAGCATTTGAATGCATTTTGTTGGTATTTATTCAATAAAGTATTTAATTAGTGCTAAGTGTGAACTGGACCCTGTTGCTAAGCCCCAGCAAGCAATCATATCCTAGATAGGGTTAAGCCCCCAGTAAAATTGCCATATTGCACATGTCTTAATGAAGTTTGAATGTTAAATAAATTGTATATTCACTTTAAAGGTGTTTCGGTCATTTTTGTTTTAATGATTTATTTAGAAAGGGAGAGAAACATCAGTGTGTGGGTTGCCTCTCTTATGTGTCCCCAACTGGGGACCTGGCCTGCAACCCATGTGCCCTGACCGGGAATCAGATCAGTGACCCTTGGGGTTGTAGGCTGGCACTCAATCCACTGAGCCACATCAGTCAGGGCCTTTTTTTTTTATTTATTTCAAACAAAACAAAACATTAACATGGTTTTAACAATTCTGAGTTAACTGCTGCATCACAGTAGCACAAAGGCTAATCAATTGCAGATGTTCATCAGCACCATCTGCTAAGCATTTATCTACTTCCTACAAGAAAAAGAAAAGGTTAGTAAATTTCCTTTTCTCAGGTATAAATATTTTGTTGAAATGTGCAAAAATGCCTACTTACAGCAAGTTTTTCTGTAATAATGGACTTTTGTTTATCAGAAAGGTCGTCGTTTTCTACAACTACATCATGAAATTGATTTACAAGCTGAGTTGCTGCATGACCTTCATTTATTAAGTCCTGTAACAAAAAAAAGGGTGTTTGATGTCATCATTTAATTTTCTCTCCCCAAAGTTAGTAAAATAACTTAACTTTACCTTACCTTTACTACAGCTTCTAGTTTGTCAAAAGAGCCATTCTGACAAGCAGCAAATACTCCATCAATTGTCTCAGCTGGTATCATCTAAAAAGGTGTTTTCAGGATGAAGACATTTTGGGCATTACTCTGCAAAGCCTATGCCCAGCCCACTCCTTTCTGTTCCATGCTTGGTTAGTTCATTGGGTCCTACTATTATAGGGTGTAAAGCTGTTATCCTGATAGATACTGAATCTAGAGCATCGAGAAGGCAAGGACCTGGAAAAGGGGCCAGCTGTAAGCATTGGGCTCAATTCTGAGTTTCAGAAGGTGATCTAGAGTCCAGTCATTATGCAATAAGGGTGATGTATTTTTTACTTTTAAGTTTGGGGGCTCTGGCTTTAACCGTACACCTCAGAGCGGTGGTTAAAATCAAACAAGTAATTTGAAAAGGAATCTCAAGTGGGTGTGCCCTTTCTTCAAGAAAGGTGGCACTAATAATGATCAGTTTAAAACGTCTCTTAATACCCAGATAAAGGGAACTAATGCTGTTTCATTATGGTATGAAAATGCTAAGGCCTAACAGGAGTATCTAAAGAAGAGATGTGACACATTTTTCTCTTAATAGGGTTAAATCATTAACTGCCACATGCCCAAAGCACTCTGCACCCCCAGGTATTCACTTAGCTAGCATAGTACTTGGCACATGCTATAGACTAAATGTGACCCCCTCAATATGTTAGAAAATCCCTAAAGTGATGGTATTTGGAGGGGGCCTTTGGAGGTAACTGGGTCATGATGGTGGAGCACTCATGGAATTAGTGTCCTTATAAAAGGAAGGGCCCAGAGAACTCTCTTCTGCCACAGGAAGATTCAGGCTGTGAATCGGGTCCACTAACTATAAAGTAGGTCCTTCTAACAACAGTCTGGGTGCCTTGATCTTGGACTTCCCAGCCTCCAGAACTACTGAATGAATCTGTAAGCTGCACAGCCTGATGTTTTCCAGCAGCATGAAGGGACTAAACACATGCATTCTGTATGTATATACTTAGATGAAAGTTTTCTAAAAGCCACAAAGAGCCTCCTAAAAGAATTTAAGAATAACGTGCTCTTACCCCAGCAATGTCTGTGATCACTTTCTCTGTGACCTCCTTCCCACCTGTTAATCGAGTAGCACTTTGAAGAAATGTAATGGCCTTTCTCAGGTCTCCTTCTGATACTTTAACAAGACAAGACACTCCCTGAAGGGAAAAAGAAGTTTTGTGGTGTTTTTTTTTTAACCTTGGATGACCAACTAAGGCTTTTTGATGTTAATCAAATGAGAAGCACTGTATTTTATCCTAGAGTAACTGGGGAAAAAATAGCAGAATTCATGGAGATAGCCTCAGTTCAATGGAAGGATAGAGATCTCTTGCCTTTGCAGACAGATGTTCCATACTTCTCATCCTATTTTCTCAGTTACATAAAGCAAAGAAAGTTCAAATTATGGTTCAATTCTGTTCTAAGTAAAAAGCCTATACTTTCCCTACTAAAATTTCATAACCAAGGAGACTAAAATCTTGTCATGTAAAGATCTGTTGTTGCAGAATTTGCATTATATGTATGCATACATATTTGCATTATATGTATTATATGTATTTGCATTATATGTATGACATCTGCCCCAGTTTTGGGTCTCTAAAATGCTGATAGATATACACTTGTAATGGCAATAAAAAACAACCTGTAATTTCTAGATATTCCAACTTGTTCATTTAGCTTAACTTTGCCTGAAGAATTGGCATCAGAAATTGAAGCAACACACATGACTCCTTTTCAGGGCCTCTTCATATACATTCATCGAAGGAATTAGTAATTACCTCACTGCTAATTTTGACATGTTCTTTATCAGCAATGTCTAGTAATCGCTGCTGTTGAATTTTATCTGACAGAGGTTTGAAGCGGAATTTAGAACATCTAGAGGTCAGGGGTTCAATAATTCTGTAAAATAATGGAAAAAGCAAATCAGTGTCTAAAGAAGGAGGCCACCTCAAAAACTCATTTTTGTCAAGATTTGATGGAGAACATAGACAGTAATGTAGCTGTGAAACATTTTTTTCTTTCCCTAACTGGGGGTTACCAAATTAACACTGCCTAGCATCTATCTTCAGGGCAATACACATACCGACTGACATAGTTACAGATGAGACAGAATCGGGTGGTTTTAGACTCTTTCTCCATGGTACGTCTTAAAGCTGCCTGAGCAGCTGAGGTCATAGAATCTGCTTCATCCAGAATCACAATTTTAAAAGGAGGACATGGCTTCCCACTGATTCAGAGAAACATATAGAAGTTATAATTCACATCATCACAATCTAATTTTAGAACATACTGATCATCCCAAAAGAAATCCCATGCCCAATGCCATTCTTCTCCCAACTCTCCCATGTTTTGACCCTTATGAATAATGTCATTATGAGCATTTGTATACATGTTTTGAACAGACATGTTTTCATTTCTTGTGGGTTTATGTTTAGGGGTAAAATTGCTGGGTCGTGGTACTCTGTTTAACTTTTTAGCCAAACTGGTTGCATCATTTTATGTTCCAACCAGCACTGTATAACGAATATATTTTCATATGTAAATTAGCCTTTTGGGTATCTTCTTTGGAGTAATGTCTAGTCACATACTTTGCCCATTTTAAAATTGGGTTGTCTTTATTATTGAATTGTAAAAGCTCTTTATATATTCTTGAGCTAAGTGCCTTATCAGATATGTTTTATATGCACTGTAAATTCAAGGTGCGTATCAAAAATTAGTCATTCACTTTCTACAAATTCTTAATGTGTCCTCTGATATAAACATATCAGAATTTACCAAAAATTTAATATTGGAACTTTGCCACCTAAGGAATATAAGTAGTTGACTAGACGTCCCTGTTTAACTCAGGGCAGTCCTATTAATTATTAATAATACCTTCTCTTTCACTCTAAAAGCATCTAAGCTGAGACAAGAAATTACACCTTCACCCTAATTATGAAATATACCTTGAAGCTTAACATATCTGGCTATTTTTTTAATAATAGCAAAAGTCAGGATTTTTGTTATACATGCAAATTTGATTAATAAATACTCCTTAGGAAAAATATCAGCAAAACCCTAGACAGCTAAAGAAAATTATAATAGAAAGGTCATTTCTGGCTTTAAATTAATTTAGATAAAAATATGATCTACCGTGAAAAAGGACTTGCAAATTTGGCAGAAATAAGCATTTTAAACCAATACAAGGGGGACCCCAAAAAACTGGAATTAATCTTCCAGAAGGTGGGCCCCTTGTAGTACAGGCTTTCCCTGCTAGATATTTCTGTATCAGTGTACTAGCTAGCATTGTTGTGAGAGGCTGTGTTTGGGTTCAGTGAATTTTTTTTGAAGACTCAACACATTGGCCCACTTCATGATGGGTGACTTCTGAGCACATCTGCCCACAATGTGTGCTAAGTGTTCAGCAGTTTTTAACCAAAAATGACATGACCCCTGTACCCCACCCTCCCTATTCACCCAATCTTGCCCCAAGTGACCTTTTTTTTGTTTCCCTAGATGAAGAAAGTCCTCAAAGGGAAATGTTTTACTGATGTGGAAGAGGTGAAACAAAAAATGGCAGAAACACTAAAAGGCATCAAAATCGATGAGTTCAAAAACTGTTTTGAGCAGTGGAAAAAAATGTCTCAATAGGTGTGTTGCATCAGTGGAGAGTTCTTTGAAGGTGATGAAGTTTAAACATTTAAGAATAAATACACTTTTTTTATAAATAAATTTCACGGAGGGGGTATCCCCTTATACGATGACATGGTGTGGAAAAGGGAAGGTGAGTGTAACTTACTCTGAACGACTTCCTGAAACAGTTAATTGAGCAAAATTCTTCACTTTCTCTCTAATTACTTGTATTCCACGTTCATCAGATGCATTTAACTCAAGAACTCTTAATCGAAAAAGTTCATGCCTATGTCAAAATGAAGGAAATACGAAACATCATAGAGCGTATAACTGGGGTTTAACCACATTTTAACATTTGCATGTCCTGCAGTGGTTTAAAATCCACTTACTAAACAATATAAGGTATACAATCACTTTTATATTTTCTCTTTTGCAGAGACAAACAGTTAACATTTTGCTTTTTTCCATGCTTTAGAAAAATAAGTACATGACATCACATGTTTAAAATATTTAAAAAATTTTCCATTTGGTATTGCATCAAAACCATCTTGCCATGTCATCAGAACCTCCAGAAATACAATTTTAATAGCTATGTGACATTCCATCCTATGTATCATCACTTATTTAACATCTGTCTATTTTGTAGACAAATAATATTAAGTATGTTACAATTTTTTTTAAGATTTTATTTATTTATTTATTTTCAGAGAGGGAGTGGGGGGGAGAGAGAGAGAGAGAGAGAGAGAGAGAGAGAGAGAAACATCAATGTGCGGTTGCTGGGGGTTATGGCCTGCAACCCAGGAATGTACCCTGGCTGGGAATCGAACCTGGGACACTTTTGTTCCCAGTCCGCCCTCAATCCATTGAGCTACACCAGCCAGGGCTGTATGTTACAATTTTAAATAATGCTGCAATGTAGCATATTTTAAATTATTTCCATATGTAGCTTGCTATAAGGAAAATTGCTAGGTTAAAAACCTGAATAGTTTCTTAAAGTGAATTTTTAAGAAAATTATTAAAAGTAGCTCACTATAGGAAAATCTGAGAAATCAAAAAATAATTAAAACTGTTACACCCAAAGTACTATTTTGAAAACTCCCAGTCATTTTTCTATTTATACATATTTTTAATAATAAAACAAGATTTAGATTTATTTTTCCTAAATAGCATAATATCCCAACTATTTTTTCTATGGGTATAGACGTTTAGGAAGCTCTTTGCATATATTTGCTATTTTATTTGGTGTTTTAAAAAGCTTTTATTTATTTTTAGACAGAAGAAAAGGAAGGGAGAGAGGAAGAGAAACACCAATTTTTTCCTCTCATGTATCCCCAACTGGGGACCTTGCCTAACAACATGTGCCCTGACTGGGAATCGAACCAGTGATCCTTTGGTTCACAGGCTGGCACTCAATCCACTGAGCCATGCCAGCCAGGGATCTTTGCATATATTTTCTATTTTAAAACCATGTATAGTATTAAATGTGAAATTTATACTTAAAATACATTCTTTTGGTTCTAAAAGGATACTTTAAAAATGACATAATTTAGACTTACTCTAGAATAACTAATAATAAACTACTTAATAATTTCATTATAACTACATTGCTAAGACTGGTTCAGTGCAGGTCTAACTGAGGAGTTGTGGAATAATCAGAAAAACTTTTAGTATTTCCTTAGGAAACAAAAATCGTCAAATAAATACAATACTAGGTTCACAGCAGCTTTGCCTTTTGTCTTCTCATTTGGTGGTGGCAGAGGCATCTAATTTTCATATGTAGAATTTCAGATGTACCCTTTGGTCATATAGCCCGATATAAAAATTCTGGATAAATTCAAGATACTTTTGGTATATTGGAGCATGTTGCATGGGTATCAGACCTGGACTGATATCTTTCTAGGTAAAAGGCTCCTAGATGATTGTTGGCTAAGCCAAGACAGAATCTAGGAAGAGGACTCTAGGAAGGTGGCCCACAGGTGCTGTATCTGGAATCATACTGCATCAGCTACCACACACAATGCTTAAACTCAGGATATCTGAGGCCAAGGAGCTGGCCTAGCCACTCCAGAGACAGGGCCTAGAAAAGCCAAAGCAAGAAGGAACTCAAGAAGAGGTAGTTTAGGTTAGTAGCATAAGACACAACAGATCTGATCACATAACACAGATTTGAATGCAATCATTAAGAGTGATGAAACTCAATATGACTGGAGATAGGTTCGGTTCTCTAGGCCCAAGTTCATAATGAAAAAAAAATTGATAAATATCATGAGGCTCCTTGTATGCAGTATATTCAAGCATTTGAATAAGGTTCAGAATGAAGGTTACAAAAGATGTAGGAAAGCTAATTTATTGGAGAGGAGGAAGTGGAAATGAGCGCACTGGATTAATAAAAATTCAGAAACAAAAACAAACCCAACAATTTCACAGAGAAACCAACTGCAAATTTTTGGAGAATTTTTGCAGTGTCAAGCAGTGTCAAGTCTAAAATAAGAGTGAGATTTCAACTTACCCAAAGAGTTCCCTAGCTGCTGCCAAAATAGTGGATGTTTTTCCAGTTCCAGGTGGTCCGTAGAACAAGAGATTAGGAAGCTGTAGAAGTTAAATTTTATTGTTTTTAAATTGTACACTGGAACACCTACGTGAAAATGATGATTGAAAATGTCTGGAACAGTGCAATAATTACCACCATAGAGAAGGCACATATATCTTAATACACAGATTTCTTCATATAACCGATAACATAGTATTAACAGTTCTAAATCCAGCGTTTTCACATAGTACTGACTTTTGTCCCAACATGTCTTTCTAGTATCTTAAGCTGAATCATATTTATGATTGCTCTATACCTAATATACATAGGTGGAATTTTCAATGCAGAAAATGTTTATTTCTGAATTCCCAAGCTTCTGTCAGTTTCCTACCGCACCTCCTTGCTCAGGATTGGGCAAGATTTTACATTTTGTAAAGATGTCAGTTGTTTCAAGAAGAAATAGAACAAAGGATAATTGGATTTGGCCAATACTGAGGAAAAAGGAGTGAAAATACACAGTAGGGCTTTGGATGAGCTGAAGTTGCAAGAATAGAAACATTATAAGAACTAATAAGCATCTATTAAATGCCAGGTAGTACTTCATTATGATCATGTACCCTGTAGGATGCATGCATATATTAGGGAGAATTAATTAGAGAAAGGAAAGATAAATGAAATAACTGGTTATCTTCTTTTATACCCTCAGTCTAGCTAGCTTGGCTCCTTATCAAGCAGACAACTGAACTGTGTTATAGATTAATAAATGTTCTAAATTCTAATTAGCTCACTTACAAAACTGTACATTTTTCAGTATGTACTTTCATGTATGCATGGAAAACTAGGCAGTAGTTTATTTGCTTCCACTCTTGCCTAATCCCCACCCTCGACCCCTACTTATCCATTCATTCTTCACCCAAGTCAATGTTGCTCTGCTTGCTACTTAAAACTATTCACTGGCTTCATACTCCAAGTGGAAAAACAAAAACAGACAAATGAATTAACCTGCTTACCATAACCTACAAGGACATCCATGATTTGCTCACCACTTCTCTTACCTTCTAGGCTCCAATTTACAACGACCTCCAATAGCTAAACACTTTATGGCCTGCACATATGCTATCCCCCACAAGTGAGGGTCTGACTCCTCTTTCTGCTGGCCAACTCCTTGTGCATTACAAATCAGAAGCCTTCCCTGACCCTCCAATCTAAAGTAGGTCTCCTCATTAGCAATTATTTATTATTTACTTAACTTTTGGGTTTCATAGTAAAATACGTGTCTACTTTATTAGATTATAAACTTAAGAAAGTCAAGACTATATTTGTTCTTTCACATCTATATTCTCAGCATCTCGTGCAGTACTCAATATATGCCAAATAAATCATAAATATATAAATATAAACATTAATATATATTTATAAATATATTAGAAGATTGTTACTGCTACATTAGTAACAAATAGCTTAAGATACAAACTATGAGATTCACTAAAAACAAAATCCAAAAAAACGCCCCTAGGCTCCTTTGTTTTTAAGGTTATAACTATTATTTGGATGCATGCATACCTCAAATTTAAAATGCTTCGTCCAGGTAACTAGCATATATAATTCAAATTCTTTAAATCTGATACAATTTATATCAAATTATATATAAAATTAATATAAATCTTTAAAACATGGTAAAATTATTAAACTTTACATTAAATAAGTCTGATACATATGCTGCATTCAAGAACTGTATGTGGATCACTAGTTATTAGGAAATACAAAACCACAATGAAATGTCGCCTTACACCCACTAGAATAGCTATTATCAAAAAGACAAGAAATAACAAGGGTTGGAGAGGATGTAGAGAAAAGGGACCCTTGTACACTGCTGGTGGGAATGTAAGTTGGTGCAGCCACTATGAAAAACAATGTAGAGGTTCCTTAAAAAATCAAGAATAGAACCACCATATAATCCAGAAATTCCTCTTCTGAGTATTTAGCTGAAAAATATGAAAACACTAGTTTGTAAAGATGTGTGTACCCCTATGTTTACTGCAGCATTATTTACAATAGCCAAGACATGAAAACAAACTAAGTGTCCATCAACGTATGATTGAATAAAGATGTGGTATATATGTACAATGGAATACTTCAGCTATATATATAAAAAAAAGATGAAATACTGCTATTTACGACAACCTGGATGGATCTTGGAAGTATTATACTAAGTGAAATAAGCCAGATGGAAAAGGAAAAAAAACATATACTTTCACTCATGTGGAATATAAATAAAAAATAACAAACTCACAGGGACAGGCAACAGAATGTTGATTACCAGACAGGATGGGTTTTGGCAGGGAAAACAAATTGGGTAAAGGGTGTCAAACATATGGTAATGGAAGGAAAATGGACCAAGTAGTGGGTTCACAATAGAGTATACAAACATTGAATTATAATGTACACCTGAAATTCCTATGATGTTATTAATCAATGTTACCTTAAAATTTTAATTAAAATTTAATTAACATACACATAATGGAATTTTATTCAGCCATAAAGTACTAGGAAGTCTCGCCGTTTGTAACAACCTGGATGAACCTTGAGGGCATTGTGCCATGTGAAATAAGTCAGCCAGAGAAAGACAAATACTGTACGATCTCACTTATGTGCATAATAAAATAAAAATACTAATTAAAAAAGAGCCAGGGGCTGGGAGAGGGGAAACTGGAAGAAGGTGGTCAGAAAGTACAAATTTCCAGTTATAAAATAAATAAGCACTAAGGATGTAATGAACAACATGATAATTAGCGCCACTGTATGATATATATATAAAAGTTGTTAAGAGTGTTCTTGTAAGGGTGAACTCTTTTTCTTTTATTGTATCTGCATGAAATGGTGAATATTAACCAAACTTAAATCATTTCACAATATAACATTAAATCATTATGCTGTATACGTTAAACTTATAGAGATATATGTTAATAATATTTCAATAAACCTGGGGGGAAGAATTCTAAGCAAAGTATCAGTTCTTAAAATTGAGTTTTGAAAAAAGAATTATAAATTCTTCCTTAAAACTTTTTAAAGTGATGGAATTATTTCCCTTTACTCTTTAGAATTAAAAAAAATGACTTCATCTTTAAGTTTTACCAAATTTAGTCTAAAAGGAAACACAAAATATTGAACAAGTGTTTAAAATTATTAATTCAGCCTTGTAAATTAGATGGTATAAAGTTAAGAGTTGAATCATAATCCCACTAGATTTGCTTAGAATTGAGAATACTAGCAATTAAAATACACCTTGTCCTGAAATCTGGGTAAATATCACCAAGCAATTACAATTGTATACTATTAAATAATTAAAAGGTAAATACTTGATCAAATCAAATACTGGTAAAGAAAAAGATCTTAAATAGTTTTAGAAATATAACTTCTTTCAAAATATGTACTGTTGTGCTGTAACTCCAAGAAGAGAACAATGGCAGCAAAAACCAAAAGAACCTCTAATTCAAAGCAGCCAGGTTAAGAGGAAGGAAATCTATGGAATAAAGCAAAAACCAAATACCACTTTTGGTTTTTTTGTTTGTTTAGATTTTATTTATTTATTTTCAGAGGGGGAGGGAGGAAGAAGAGGGAGAGAAACATTGATGTGTGTGGAAAACATCAATTGGTTACTTGTTGCATGCCCCTAGCTGGGGACCTGGCTCATAATCCAAGCATGTGCCCTGAATGGGAATCAAACTGCTGAACCCTTTGGTTCGCAGACTGGTCCTCACCCCATTGAGCCACACCAGCCAGGGCCAAATACCACTTTCATTTGCAACTTTTTTCTTTTTCTTCACTGAATACTCAAAGCATTTTATCATAAAATTTTAAACTGCCAATTCTTTATATGGGCTTATTTTGTCTCTGAATACTCTAAAATGCAAATCACTCAAGGAAATAATATCCCACTCATCAAAGCAGGAGACCCAATGCTATGACCAGAATGAAATGCTCAATTATTTTGTATTGTAGTTCAAACTAAATCCTAAAATTAGGTGAGAAATTGTATTTTTAAATTTTTCAATTACAGTTGACTTCAGTAATATTTTATATTAGTTACAGCACAGTGGTTAGACATTTATATAATTTACAAAGTGATCCTCCCCCTAGAAGCCTAGTACCCACCCATCTGGCACCATACAATATTGACTATATTCCCTATGCTGTACTTTACAGCTCTGTGACAATTTTGTAACTACCAGAGAAATTACACTTTCAAAGAATCTCTGACTTTATAGCACTTATTATCTAGAATTCTTATTTATTTGGTATACATGCTTATACTATCATTCCCCACCAAAATAAAAGCTCATAAGCAAAGGGACCCAGTCTGCCTTGCTCAATGTTCTATGCCTGAGCAGTATAAATAATGCCATAGGATAGAATAGGAGATTCTCAACAAATATTTGTTGAACTAATCATCCATTGTACAAATAGTCATCAAGGGCCTCCTGTATACATAGCATAGTACTTAAAGGAGGCAGAAGGTTATAAAGGAAGGAAAGGGGTGAATAAATTAAGTCTTAAATCTCCCAATGACATTAAATATTATCCGCTACTCACATCAGCTCCTTCTAAAGACTTTTTCAGTACTGCAACCACTTCTTCCTGGAAAGCAACTTCATCCACACATTTTGGGCGACTGGAAAAAACAAACAAACAGGTTATTTAGTGTACGATAGTAGCCACAGAAAAGTCTCCAAGTATTCTTTTTACCAAATAACTGATGATAATTTTCATATGTTGGTAATAAAATAAGAAACTTTCCTAATTGGGAAGTAGGTGGAAACCCTATTTGTTTTTACCTTAAGCAAGTATATAATAAAGTAATTTTTCACTTTCCCAGACACATAGTTTGCATCTGTTATGCTTACAAAAATTAAGCAAAAAAGGATTTTATTACACCACAAATGCTAATTGGTTAAAAATTTAAAGTGAACACTTGCCTAGAAAGTAGTATTATATTGTGACAAGATCATGCACCTACACTGAAAAGGGAGAAAGAACTATTTAGTAACCTGAGGATAGACAACTATTTTGGCTAATACAGCTACATAGTTATTACATTGTCAACTGGTTAATACTAATTACTTTCATTACTTAACTGCACAAAAAATGCGTATCTATTTACTTTGTTGAGGGCTGACAAAATAAGTTTAATCTATATGAAATATACAGTTTTCAGCTTAAATCATTAACTAGTGATTTTAAGAAAAGCTAAAAGTTATACTCCCAACCCTAAAATTAAGCTTTGTGCTTAGTTAACTAATCAAAGATACTCTTTTGAGTCATTTTTTTCTAATTGACTGGGTCAGTGCCAGACAAGAATTTCATGTTACGTTTTCTAGGAAAATCAGTGTATGTTATAAACCAGCTTCATATTCAAATACCTGCAGAGCCCAGGCAGATAACAAAAGTGAATAAGGCAGAGTGAAGTAAGGCAAGAGAAAATAGGGAATATGGAGAATTGATAAATTTGTGACCTTTCCAAAATGAGCAGTATTCAAGTCCAACTGTTAGCAGTTGAGAATTTGCATCTAATTTGTTGCCTAATCTCCTGAGAAGCTGAAAACATAGTTTTTGCCTCTTTGTATGTTTTAATTTTAAAAATTTAGATTTTTATGTGACTTGCCCTTTTTAAAAGAATTGTTGGTGCCAAAACATGAGGGTCTTGTTGGCCTATAAGTAATCTACAAACCCTTGGTGATTACTGAGGCTGCACCTGGGGTTACAACTTGTCATAACACCACTTAGCTGACTGAAATTTAAGTGCCACTCTAAGTGTTGGGTTGGGTTATTTTTAGACGTTATTTTTAGAGAGAGGGGAGAGAGAAAGAGGGAAAGATAGATCAATTGGTTGCTTCTTGTAAGCCCCCAACTGGGGCCCTGGCCTGCAACCCAGGCATGTGCCCTGACTGGGAATCAAACAAGTGACCTTTTGGTTCGCAGGCCATGCTCAATCCACTGAGCCATACCAGACAGGGCTCAAGTGTTGGTTTTACCAAAAATGTATAAAAAAACAAAAACAATTTCCACCTATCAGTAATGAAAAGGGAACAGATTATGTGGACTTAAATAGAACTCCTGGCCAAGAGCCAGCTTATACAAATTTTGTTTTCTTTAATGCTGAATCCCAAGTGCTAAAACCATAGACCTGAGTTAAATACATTTTTAAAGGTTTTATTTATTTATTTTTTAGGGAGAGGAAATAGGAGGGAGAAAGAGACGGTGAGAAACATTGATGTGTGAGAGAATCATCAATTGATTGGTTGCCTCTTGCACACGTCCCATCCAGGCATGGGGCTGGCAACCCAGGCATGTGCCCTGACCAGGAATTGAACTGGCAACCTTTCGCTTTGTGGGACAATGCCCAACCAACTGGGCCATGCTGGTCAGACTAGACCTGAGTTATAGATTCTAAGGTACCTTTTAGTTCCAAGGTTCTATGACATACACAATTGAGTGATTTTCGAGGACAAAGTCTAAACAGTGCAAATCACCCCTCAAGTTAAAAAAAAAAAGTGCTCAAAGCTGATTAGAGATGTAATTTATTAACAATTTCAGCAAAAACACAAGAGTTCTTACTATTTTTCCACCCATGGAACAGGTTTGGCTTTCTTGTTCTCACCACTGCTTCCGGCAGTGGCAGCTGTCCCTCGATCCTTGGGCAATGGTGGTTTAGTGCTGATAGATGTGCCTTTTAGAAATGCCTGCATGGTTACTTCACCCTGCTCAGGTGCAAGACAGAAAAAAAGCTCTTTTGAAACTGTTATGAGGAAGTACAGTCAGAAAGCACACTTACCCTTGTGCAAAGATATTCAATAATTACTTAATAAAGGGCATCACCCCCTGATCCATGACCGACCTAGCACCCTCTCAACGCATTGTACTGAAAGCTGCAGAGACCATAAAAAAGGTCAAAGGGCTTAAGGAACTTAGAATCTATTCTCAATGAGGGAGTTACAGAATAAAGATATATCTTACATCAGAACATTTTTTTTAAGTTCCAAACTTTTTGATAAATATGTCATTGATGGCCAGACTCTGCATTGGCCTCTATAGTCTCTTCCATTTTGGTCATGGGCTTAGCTCTAGCTCAGCCTCTGGAATGGACTCAGCCGTTTGGAGTGCTGGACCACAAATGAGAACCTCCACTTTTGGGGAGTGAGAGAGGGGCTAGAGCTCCACTCAAGGGCCCATTTTACTGGCAGAGCCCATTACTGCCTTAGAGGCTATTTTCTGGGGAGAGCCGGTATGGTTGGGGAAATCTGTTAAAATGGAAACAGTTGTTTTTGCTCATTTGAAGAAATCAACACTGCAGGAATGGCAGAGTTAAAAAAATTCACACAAACTCTCACCCAGAAGGTAACCACTATTAACATTCAAGTAAAGAGAAGGCTGTTTTCAGGGAATAGAAAGGCGTCATTAGCTTGTCCAAAAATTCTCAGCTTTAGTAGCCATTCTGTTTTTGTCACTGCTACGTCCCCACGGCCTACTGCACTGACTGGTACATGAGAGCTGCTCCACAGTATCTGACGACTGAATCGCCATTTATGAGACACAGGTTCCCCTTCTGTAAAAAGAGCTAAGGCCTATTCCATAAAGCAACTGAGTTAAATAAAAGAATTGTGCAAACACAGTTCTGTACTTGGCTTATGGGTATATACTCAGTAAACAAAATAAACTGTTAATATCTGTAAATAGCGACGGTTTTTAACGTGTTGGATTACTCCATTCCTGCCACAGGCTGCTAAATAGAATAGAGCCCAGAACGGGGCTCCGAAAGATGCTGCACTGTGTCACTGTTTTCCCGAAGGGGTAGGCGGCAGCTAGGCCAGAGCGCTGGTCCAGCCCTGTGCGCGCTACGACGTAGGTGGAAGACAACACAGGGGCACCACCGGCGCAGAAGCTGAGGAAGGGGAAGGCGACCGTTGCAACTTCTACGGCTGGTCACCTGTGATCCCCGGCTCCCCGCGCGTGTTCCCGGGCTCTGCCTAGGCCTTTCAGCCCGTCTCCGGAGCGAGGACGCCGCCGGCTCGTTCCTGGGGCTTCTGGGACGGTGAAAGGGCGAGGCAGTATCGAAGTTTTAGCTCCGTTTTCCAATCTGAAAATATCAGGTTCAGAGAGCCCCGAGCGGCCTGACACGGTGACAGAGATGCTGCAGTCAGAACGGTCGCCTAAGTTCCCGCCACGAAACGGCCGGCGAAGGGCACGGCGGGAATCCGCGGAAGTAAGCGTCACTTCCGGCCCGCCGCGCGCCCCGGCCGGGTTAAACCCTTAGCCTTCTACATCCGCAGGGTTTTGCTTAAAGACGCGAGAAGACACACAGGGTTTTAGGGTTGCATAGACTGGGACGACGATGACTGAGGAAGTGTAAAGATAGCTTCACTCTGCCCTCCTGCATTCTTCCCACTGGAGACTGCAGTGCAAAGGTGTCTGACCGAGACCGACCCGCGGAGACGCGCGGGTTCGGCCTGCTCAGCGAACGTGGGCGGGGAGGGATCTGCGGCCGGTCACCCGCGGTAGCAGTTGGGTAGGGGTGTGCGAGCTTCTGGAACCCCGCGGTCCACCGAGGGACTCCGAAGGTTCATACCCTTTTGGGGTTGGAATCTGTATAAACTGTCCCTCACTGTGAACTTAATACCAATGAGGCATCTCGCTGGCCTTTCCGAGGCAAAGCACTTCGTCTTTCAACCTGCTTCGCGCCAAGAACGGAGATTGGGGAGGGTGGAGTCGCTCTTTCGCCAGCAGAGGGCACCCGAAGGATCCGTATTCTCTCTTTGCCTTCGTAGTCGCGGAGTAAACCGAGCGCGCTTTTAAAGGTAGAAACGTCTGAGGAAATGCCTTTCCTACCCTGTTTGGGTGCATATGGGTATGCAACAGGGTCTATTAGTGTCTACTCGTGGGTGAGAGGATGGACCTTGCATGCAGCTACAGTCATCAAATCCCAGAGCCCTGGCCAGAAACCTGGTGGTGAAGATGCCCAATAAAAAAAGGATTGATACTGTTTAATTCCACCAGAGCCCAAGAACTGCGGACTCTAGATTTCTGTTGCACTTGCATCACAGTACAACTTCTGCCCAATCATGCCTGTCTGACCCCTCTCAGGTGTTGGTTCCGAAAGTACCACGCAATAAAAACCCTGCATGAAAATCTCAGAATCTGTTTCCTAAGGAATTCAACCGATGACGGTTGGTACAAGAAGTGGTCCTAGAAAAAGACTAAGATGAAGTTTTGAAGTTGAGTCATTACCAGCCTCCTGGTAATGAAAACCCTGTCTCTGGTGGCAGTGGAGCACTGATAGCCCCTGGAACCCTAGGGCAACTGTTCAGACTTTCACCAGTGGCAAACGAGACTGGGATGCCTGTGGAAGGGAGTGTACCAACACATGCAATATCTCAGGGCTTTTAGGAAATAGTAATTATAAGAACTTTGAAATTGGATGGCCATTTGGGGGAGGGCTCATTAATTCAGAATGAAAGAAAAACATTTTTAAAGACAATGAAATTCTGAAGGTGATTAATTGCCAGTATCAGACCAAGTGTGGAAGCCAGAGGGTCTCTTTGGCAACATATAAAATGATTTACACATCCTGTAGCCACAGGACAAAAAATAAAATAAAAATAAATAAAAATAAATCTTTGGGATAGACCCAAAAAATTAGTTATAGGAGTGGCAGGGTTCCAGAGAAGGTTAAATTCTCAACCCTACCAAGTCTGCTACACCAAGGTCAAGGCCCTAACTGAGAAAAAAAAAAGTAAAAGGGGTGCTGAGACTTAAAATGGGATCATCTGGGTCAATAAATTTGAAAATCTTAAATTTCTATGTTTCCCCGAACCCTGATGATCTACAGAAGTAACCTTTTCTGTTAACAGCTGATGATCATCTATCTCTTGAGGATGTATGTATAAGCTGGGTGATATGGAGTTTTTGTCTTCCAAGACAATACATATCTCTGATTATCCCCCACTTTCCACTTCTGACCACCAAAGCAATAACCAAAATTAAGTCACACTGTGGCCCAGGTGGAGAAATGCTAGGCCAGCTAAAGGTGGAAAATAATTATATGTGCAAGACTGGGCAACGAACTGGCAAAGCAGGAGAGCATGTGAAGGACTGTTCTGGATGAAGGAGGACAGAATATAAAATTGGAAAAGGAGAATAGACCTATGACACCAGGTTTAATATCTTGTCAAAGACCCCAGGTGATAGTATTTGGTTGGCCCTTGGAAGCTTGGAAAAAGCAATGGCCCGCATTAAGCAAAGTTGAAACACCAGAACTATGGTGGCAAACACTGGAGGATGAAATCAAAAGACTCAGAGAAGTGGGATATACTATGTAAGGTTCAAAAACCATTAGCCCACTCTGTCCTTAAGATACAGTATTCTTGTCCAAAATGAGAGACAGTGAGCTGATGAAGTGTCTCCAGCACTGTTAAGAAGCTCAGTGTGGAGTTATCCTCTGTAGGCCAAGACTGCTGGTGGGAGATGCTGGGACAACAGTGCAGACTTTTCTGATAGTAATGGGGATATCAGAATTCCAAAATAACAGAGGCCAGATGGCAATGCTAAACTCTCAAAAGCAAGGTAGGTACAATTGTCATCATGTCTGGCAAGGTCACAGGTAATCAGGGAGGTCTGATAGAGAACTAAGAAAGTGTACAACACAGCATTTTGAGGGATGTGATAGACACTGAACAAGTGTATTGCTCCATCTATGCAACCAAAATAAATCAAAGATGGATGATCAGGAGGCTTACTGCAGCCGCAATAGTAAAAAGTCATGAGTACTTTCTACGTTTCCAGACCTCAGCCACTTCTCCTACACACATCTCATAGGGTGATGAAGAAGCTTAGGTCCTCAAGAAAAAAGACCCTGCAAACACAATGGCAAAAGTATAAGGTAATGATTTCCTCAGTCTTTACCAAAAGCCATTTATTCATTGAGGGAAAGAGAAATACAAAATCTTTTAAGGTCTATTAAATACAAGGTCTGAGTTGGGATATCCAGGGACCCAAAGCACGCCTCCTGTTGGAGTGGGTGGTTAGGTGTCAGGTAATAAATGGAGTTCTGGTCCAGGTCTGGCTCATGGTAGATCCACTGGTTCCACAGCTGACCTGCTGGTTATTTCCCTGGTTTCCAAAAGAATAGTTGGAATAGGCCGTACTTAGGTATTGAACCTATGTTGGTTCTTTGGCATGCAGGGCAAGGGCTATCATAATGGAGAAAGCCAAATAGAAGCCTGCAAAACCACCCTACCATCTACAGCCAAGACAGTAAATAAAAAATAATACCATTTGAAGGGGTATGGCAAATATTAATGTCACCCTTATATACCTCAAGTAGGCAGGAATGGTGGTCCCCATCATATATGCCTATTTCATTCATCAGTATGGCCTGGACAAAAACAAGATGTACCCTGGAGGATAACTGGGTTATCATAAACTCAACTAAGTGGTAGCCGCCCCATTGCAGCTGTGGACCAGATATGATATCTTTGCTAGATCAGATTAAAATGGCCTTGGATACATAGTACCTGACAATCAATCTGATAAATGTATTCTTTTCCATCTTCCTTAGGAAGGAGGGCCAAAGTAGTTTACATTCTCATAGGACAGGACCAGCATACATCCACTGGTATCCCTGAATGAGGGTTAAATCTGCTGTCTGCTCTAATAGAGTCTTAAAAACCTGAGTCATCTAGACATTCTGCAGAAGACCATATGGTCTACTTATTAATGATCAGATGAGAAAGAAGTGGCAAATACATTGGAAAAACTAGGTAAAGACACATGCATTCCAGAGGGCAGGGAAAAAAATGGCTAAATGAAGATTCATGGGATTACCACATGAATGAAGTTTTTAGAGATCCAGTGGTTTGGGGCAAGCTGGGATATAGCCTCCCATTCCCACTAAATTAAGACAAATTACTGTTTCATATCTCACCCTGGCAGGCTTTTTGGATTGTGGAGGAAGCATATTCCATATTTAGAAATACTGTTCTCACTTGTTTATCTAGTGACAAGAAAAACTGCCAGCAGAAAAAAGGTTCTGTAGCTGACCCAGGCTGAGGTGCCAGCATCCCTGATGCTTGGGCAATAAAACCAGTGAGCTCTACAAATAGGTGGACTCTATGGTACTAGAGTTGTCCATGGTGAGAAAAGATGTCATGTGGGGAAAACAGAATCACAACACAAACCCCTATGGTGATGACACAAGTCTATGCCACCTGCAGCAGAAAATCATTCAGAAAAGGTATCCTCATGTGTTACTGGGCTCTCTGCTAGAGATTGAGCACCTGGCCATGAGACATTAACTGACCAAGTGTCCAGATTTTCCCAGCAGGACCTGGGGCCTGTCAAATTCACCAAGCCTTCTTCAGGTTTTTACAAAGCTGTAATCAAGGCCTTGGTGGGAGCTGTGATATTATATCTGCAGATCAACTGGGCACAGAGTCACTGTGGTTAGAGCCAGAATCCAATTCCTTACATATTCCTTTCCTGAGATCTAGATTGTTGGTGGGGCAGATTAGGCAGAAATTAGCCCTGTGGTTTCACACCCACCAGGGAGCAGTTGATTAGGTGGCCGTGGCACAGTGGCTAAGCAAGTGCTTGAGGTTCTCGAGATCCAGGCCCAAGCACAGCTCTGTCTGTTTGGACAAATTACCTACCCTCAGTATGCCTTAAATTCTTAATCTGGTATTTTACAAAATGGTGGTAACTAACGCCTGTTAAATTAAGTCTCTCTGTGAAGATTCAATGAGTTGGAGCTCCTAGCACAGTGCCTGGCTCACGTACTTTCACTCATGTCAGTGCAATGGTACTGTCCAGTGTTGCTCCAAAGGAAGAGGAGAAAGTCTTACCCAGGTTCGGGCCCTCAGGCAGTGAACCAGAGGCTTCTTTAAGACGGCTCTGGCTCCCTTAAGTCAAAATGACCCTATTAATATACTAGAAATTGCCCTAAAATTTGCTTATATAGAAAATAATCTGGAGGGAACCAAAACAAAAATATAGTTCAATCATTTAAAATCTGTGTAGGAAAAGCTGCCTGAGCTAGCAGGATCTAGAGTGGCTTCATTCCACCATCTAGTGGACAATAAGGGAAAAGAGAAATTTACAGGAAAATAATCTATCTCTGGATTTTGTTGTCAAACAAGTGTTTTCTAACTAGTGTAATTTAAACTCCCGACTAAGTTCACTTAT